AAGGAACGTAACGACGATAGTAAGTAAGTAACGAACGACGACACAACTAACACACAACAACACAACAACAACACAACTAACTAACCTACCACCACGACGCTCTCTCTCTCTCTCTCTCTCTCTCTCTCTCTCTCTCTCTCTCCCCCAGCACACCGACACACATTCTTAACACAGTGAATACACACCTGGAGGAGGTATGGGAAAACAAAGTCAATCATATTGTTCATCCAGGCAAGCTCTAAAGCCACATCAGGACGGATCAAGTCATAGCAAGTGAATAGACAAGATGCGAAGCACTCTTTCTTTCCCTGCAATAGATGAGCAAGAAGAAAGGAAACATCAAAACATGCCAGACATTCAATCTACTATTTATATGATGAAAATGATAATATGAAAGATCAGCAGACCTGCTCAATAAAATACACGAGCAACTCCTCAGCCAGTTCCCTGTCTCCTGATTGAGATGATGTCTCCATTGCATCCTGATAAAGGTTGTCCTTCTTAGACAATTGGACAGACTGTCTCCATCTTCCTGCCTTCTTGTAAATGTATGCCGCTATTCTTCTCATCTCCAAAAGCTCGTGCTTTTCAAGCTGCCCATAGAAAAGCACTGTTAAGGCTCATTCCAAGAAAAAACACGGATACCCACAATTTATCCAAGTAGACCATAGTTGGATACTTGGATGGACAATATATACCAAGACTACATCCACCATCCACTACGATGTGAATCATTGGAGATTAAATGAACTAGTGAAGCAAGAGTCCAAGACTACATCCACCATCCACTACATCCTCCCTAATGTGAACAGATGGTAAGTAACACTCGAAGTACTGTATCATAGTCCAAGGACTGCTGTTTATTTCATTTTTATAATCAGGGAGAGGTAAAAGACTTCTCACCTTCTGTGCAAGGCCGATCTGATCAAAGTTGTCATGCAAGTCAATCGACTCTCTGAGCCTGTCATAGTCCTCTTCTTCAATGTAGATCTCATTGAGAGCCTCATTCACAGCAGCAACATTGTTGCTTTGTACTTCAACCATGTATGGCTTCACGAGATGCAGCTGCCCAGCCTGTAAGCCATGAAAATAACAGGCACAATACAAACAGCAAGATAACATCATCAGTAACGAACCCACTATGTTTTTTAGCGAATTTGAGCAACAAACCCACACGCACGCTCGCGCGCCCGTGCAAACACACACCCACAGAGAGAGAGAGAGAGACCTTGCGCATGATGTCAACAACGCGCGTATGGTCAACTCGGAGAGCAAGAACATGGAGCAAGTCATTGATGTATTCAGGATGCTCTTGCAAATAGAAGTGCACTGCCTTGTAATAGAGCTCCACATTGGCCACCTTGACTGCAACATCTTTGAACTGCATGTGGTCCCATGCCTCTGGAGAGTGGTTCATCATGGTGGTGGCAGCATTGTCAAACTCATCGTACTGAATATAGAGGTAAGTGAGCTCCTTCCAATGTTGTTGCTCATCGCAAACCCTTATGAGCTTAGGAATGTTCAGACGAGTAGCAAAGAGTTTGATGTGCTCCATAAGCTTCTCTGGACGATATCTTGCATAGAGGATGCCAAGCTCGGTAAAGATACCCATGTGGGCACGCTCCAAACCTAGACCACTTTCCATAAGAGAGATCAGCTCATTGAAGCATCCCCTGTTCTGGTAGTAGTCACTAACCTCCTCCAAGTCATCAACCTGCAAAAGACAAAATTATACATCGGAGTTACCAATATATATTTGTGTGTGCCCGCATATAACAAATAAAAGAAGCTTCTAGAGGATTTATATTCTTGCATTGTTAGTTCTGGATGCAGTTTCATAAGTTGCTTCAATTAAGAGTTTGTAAGGATGTAGGATTTTACAGTTTCTCTCTCTTATTCTAAAAAATAAGGTAGACAATCACCCTGCTATTTCTAGAAAGACTTGTTTTAGTAACGAGTGCAATTGAAGAGAAATTCAAGAAAGGGCTTTCCCCCAAAATTTAAATGGATATATTTATGAGAGAAGAATGGGGTACTGCAAGGTGAGGAAGAAAATTTAAAAAATTCTCTCTTTTTCTCCAATGGGGTACACTACTTTATTACAAATCAATAGAAGTTTGAACAAATGCACCCCCACCACTCAACACCCCCCCACCCCAACAAACACAGCACAAAAAAAAATGCATAGGTGGGGACCATGACTATACACTCTGTGCATAACTCACATGATTTAGTTAAAGAGATAAAGAGATGCCTATATCAAGCAATTCAGATTTTTGAACACCATCACAAAGCGAGGGAGGGAGCGAGCGAGAGAGAGAGAGCAGTCATACACCAAGTAATAACCTCACCTGGACAATGATATTGAGACCACATATCTGAGCCAAGCGGAATTCCTCAGCATCAACACAAGCAAAGCAAATTTCCTTCCAAGTCTTGGAGCTGTTTGCTTTACGAGCCGCATCCACTGCACCTTGGAATTGCTTGAGCTTGACAAGAGTGCTAGCCAGCTTGGCCCAGTTCGAAATGTAAGCAAATATGATCTTGGCAGCCTCATATAGGGCTTCATCGTACAAGCGATCTCCAACATTTTGAAGATTAGCAACATTAGGTGAAAGGATAAACTCTTCAATTTCACCCAATCTATCAATCTTTGCATAAGCATAGATGAGCTCACTGTCCACTTTGGGCTCCTTAACCTTTTGCCTAACCATGAGAAGATACTTGACCAAATCATGGTACACATTAGTTTCCTCAGCAGCTCTAATAACATCCAAGAACTGAGTGGCATCATCTGCTCTGATAAAGGATTCAATGGCATCGCTCACAAGTCCCTCTTTTAGTTGCGCCTTTGCCACTTGGCTCCAAACAGCATCCTCTTCGACTCTGAAAGCAAACTCCACTGCACGATCAATGCTACGAATGTTGTCCAAAAGGACATTCACTGCCTGCACATTCAAGCTGAACTTCTTGAAGATGGCAAAAGCTTCTTCGTAAAGCTCATGCTCCACTGCAACCTCACCAACGGCAGGCCCATCAAAGTTCTCCAATCTATTGATATAATCCATAACCCGTGACTTGTCGGCCTTGATGGCTGTTAAAATAAGCAGGTTTTGAAGATTGAAGTTTCCACTGAATGCAGAGTTTTGGAGAACAATCTTCTCAAGGAGCTCGATAAGCTCATGAGGAAGATCAGCAGTCATAAAAGCTTTCACTGCTGCAGAGACCTGCTCTGGGCTCTTGCTTTCGGGTAGAGCAGTAGACACAACTTGATCGATAAGTTGCCGCCTGTATGTGTTCTCAGGATTGAGCACTTTTTCCCAGAGCTCAGGTTCCATCCTCTCTACAACATACCTGCAATAAAAGGAAATTCATTAGAACTGCTTTTCTTTTTGTGGTAGCTAGCACTCTTGAAATGACTTTTTAGAGTATAGAAGTAATGGGTAAATATGATACAGACCTGGCCTGCAGCTTAAAGAGAGAATTCTTATTGGTGACGTTGATGAGCTCATCATCACACTGCCCTCGTCTGTATGCAACAACAGCCAAAGTGGGATCCCTCTTTTCACAATATTTGCCAACAACACGGGAATCATAGTAAGGGTTGGTGGTGAGGAAATGTTCTGGGTTGTTGTTGCTGTCGATGATGATTTTACCCAATGCATTGTGAACATGAACATCTTGGCTCCCCTCACTAACAAGATGTTCTAAGAACTGGGTGAGCAAACGAAGGCGATTTCTGCAATAGACAGCAAAAAAATAAATACATTAAATAGAAGTTAGCTAGGAGGATGACTAAATGCGTTAGTGGAAATGTCTGTGCTTTTGTGTATGGTGTATGCGTGGGAAGAGAGAGAGAGACCTCTTCTCACATTCTTCAACAAGGGGCTCAACCGGAAGGAGTGAACGGACAGAAAGAATAAGACCCTTGATGAAATCTTCTGGGCATTCATCATCTAGAAGCTGCCCAACCACTAATGGAGCATTGGCAGGGCTCACCTATTAAGCACAAAATAAAGATTAGTAAAGTGAATCATCGTGAGAGAGAGAGAGAGAGAGCAAACATGTTGCTCAATATTGAAAAAACGATTTAAGATAGTACAGCAAATCAACAAGTAAATATCTTAACAAGAAAGCCAAAAATAATCTCACCTTTTGGACATAGCCTTCAATATAGCGCAGCATGTTGTTCGAGTACAAGTAATGGGTAAGATCCGGTACAAATCCAAAACGATCACAAACATTTATCAATGGCCGTGCATCTGGAAGTTTGGCTTCCATTAAAAAGTTCTTCGTCTTCTCAGGATCATAGAAGTTTGATTCTCTTGTGACACGCTCCACCTCTTTTATTTGTCCCGTCTTGGCTGCTGCCTCAATATACTTGAAATGAATATCTGGATCCTCACTGTTACACATTTACAGAATTTAAAAAACTCACAAAGGAACTAGAAACATCCAACCTACTAAAAAGCAGCAATGCATCTGTTAAATCAGAAAAATACCTTGAGCTCAGATACGACCCCAAAAAGAAATAAAGACCTTCATAGGACTTAAATTGCTCAAAAATTCTGATACAAGCATCCACTCCCAACTGCTCAGAATATTCTTTGGCAACCTGTGCAAAAGATACAGGTTTTAGCCAAACCTTAAAATAAACAAATGATAAATAAGTAACAGCACAGAACAATCTTTTCCATAAGAATATAGCATGGGGGATTCTATAGTTACCTGAACAAACAAATGATCAATAAGTAACAGCACAGAACAATATTTTCTATAAGAATATAGCATGGGGGATTCTATAGTTACCTGAACAATTATTTGAAGGTTTCCTCTCAGATTAACCACTAAAAGATCTTTCATACACTCCAGTGCCCACTCCCTGGAAAGGGTTCCAAAGAACTCTACAAGTGACTGCAAGCAAGCAGATTTCAGAAGTCAATAACATCGTGTAATTGAAGATCAAAGATAAAGGGTGATGTAACAATACCAACCTGAGGCTCAATAGCATGAGTGTTCACAATGACACGTTTGATATCAGGCAACTCTGTGTAGTGCTGCAGAAATCACAATCCCCATTATTTCCAAAAGAATTTGTGCCGACTATATAAATGTTAACAGTTATCAAAAAAAAAAATTGTACCGACTATATATAAGATTTCCTTGACAGAAGGAACAGTTAAAGAAGTTATCTTACCTGAAGGGCACGCATATACAAGCCCGCTTTTTCACAAAGTTGGGCAACCCGAGGTCGGTCATAGTGACTGAACATCCCATTAGCTAAAATAGCATCAGCCACATTGGGAAACGTTACCAGATTAATCTCCAGGACCTGTCCCACACACAAATGTCAGCATACGCAGAAACTTGCAGGTAGAAACAGAAAACTTCTTTTCCAGAGTGTGAGATACCTTTGTTTGAAGGAAGGCATGTTCTGGCAAATTGGGTTTCAAAACATCCAACAGGAAGGCAGTTGCCTCTCGGATCATATTTCTCTGTTATTATGCAACAGCATAGGTAAAAATGAAAAAGATCAGTGTGGTTTCGAGACAAAATCCACTCTGATCCACCTAAATAGTATTCTAATGAAAATCGGGCAGTAAGGTAAAGGAAAATCAATATAATCCCAGCTTCAAGATTGATCAAATCACAAATTGAACCTGAAGGAAGAGATCCGTAATTGTATTATAGTCAACTGGGCAACCCCCTTCCATTTGTGACATCATAAGGGCAAAATTAACCGCTCCCTGGGAGGAAAAAAGAAAGATAATGATCATCAGACCAGAGTTCCCAGACAATAAAGGTAATGTCAAACCAAAATTTAATAGAAAAAAAATTAAACAGAATAAAAATATTAGAAAATACACTGTAAAAAAATGCAATCTCATTATATAAAAAATTGCATTCTAATGAAGTAACCGTATATTGGTTTTATAAGAATCCTGACTAGATTTCTTTTTGCATAGAACTTGTCAGGATATAAACACGAGATATTTTTCATTACCATGTAAAGTAGAACTTCTTATGATGGTTTAGGATGTTGAGAACAAAAACACTAAATAAAATGCGTAAAACTCCTGGTTCCAAACATATTGACACAAGCAGTAATAGATTTGAATACCTGAGGATCTGTTCGCAGAATTGTTTGCAGAAGGAAGAGATAATCAGGTGTATAACCAACCTGCATGAGACAAAATCACAGAACCTCAGTTATCATGAGAGATGATAATCCAGTAAGTAACAAAAATTAAAAAAAAGGCACGCAAGCCACTATCAAGGCCCCATCGACAAGCCAACCTGAAGTGATACATTGAAATAGGAAATAACCCTTTTGTATGAGGCCAGAGAGATCACGAATACAAATGAAAGCTTCAATTACCTGCTTCGAGTAAATGAGTATTTTGTCAAACTCCCTTCGTTCAGCAAAGGCTGCAACAACTTTTGGAGTAGCCCTCGCCTTAATATATATCTTGAGGGCAAGATCATTATCCACAGTCTACAAAAAAGAGATTTTTTAACCATCAAAACCAATGGAGTTTATGGATTTCAACAAATTAAGTCAAGTGAAGGCAGACTAATATGGTTAAGAAAGGTGATTTCAACTAAAGAGTTAAAGATAACTTGAAAATTTTGTTAGTAAACAAAAATGAGCAAGATGGCTTGGGTAAACAGCAATACAGTAACTATTGAGACAAAAATAACTAAAAATTCTGACAACCTTCACAAGATCCCCAAGTTCCTCACTACACTCAAGCTTGTCTTCAGCTAACCAATTCTCCAGAAGATTCTTTTTGTTCTGATTTACGACCAAGCGAGACAACTCCAGAGACTCAAAGGCATTCAGCTTTCCTTTTGTCAGTAGTGTCCCAAAGTACTGTAGCAGTGGTGGCGTTTGTCCGGATTGAACAGGAACACTCTGCACAATAAAATACATCACAGGCGTACAAAGTGCAGTAGACAACAAAACCATTTGCCATGACAACAGAACTATAAATGTCTAATCTATGCATGCCCAGCTACCAACCCTCAAGTACAAACAATGGTCTCTAGTTTCTTCATACCAATTAAAGAAGCAGAAGAAGTGATAATGCGGCACAAAGAGATGTATTATGATATCAATCAATATTGAAAAGAGCAAAAAAGAAAGCAAGGGGTGTATCGTAGCCAACACATGCATAGCCTTGATCATTAGTAATTGGCATACCTGAAACTTAGCTACAGTATCAGGGGTACGGAGGATCCCCTGTGGAGAATCTGCAGCAAGTTCTGCAGCCTCCTTGTATTTAGTCTGAGAAAACAACTCTTGGAAACGCTGTACAACCTGTATTACAAAAGAAAAGAAAATAAAAAAGGATGTATCAATAAGAAACTCTATAAAGCTTAGAAATATTTGCCAAACTATCCCAGTATAAATATGTGGAGACATGCATATCAATTGATCAAAGAGTTACCAAATTCTCTGCCCCTGGAAGATTCCCTCGTTTGGCAAGATTCACTGCGAGTTCCAGGTTGTTTAGCTGTAAAATTTAACAGACCAAATTGTCATGTTATGAATATTTAACGGAAATAGGTTTTCTGAAAAGATGCACATACATTTCTCATACCTGACCACTGACAAAAGGAACAATGGTTGCTTCATTGACCGTTGCAAGAAGCACTTGGCCACGCCTATTGACAGCATAAAATCCTCCCAGTGACGAAGCCTCTGTCGTTAGGAAAATCGGATCGGGGCTTATGCGGTTTCTGTAAACTGCTGTTGCAGTCTCCAAGTCATAAACGAATAGAAGCCCAAGCTTTGTGATCACATAAATCAAACTGTATTTATGTGATATCTGGCAAAACAAACAGTTAAGAGTGACTAAAACGGCATGATTATAATAACAACAGAGACTTGTAAAAGCTCTACGAGTTAATTAAACACCTGCATTGCCACAGGAAAGTCATCAGCAAAATCAGGAGGGAAAAAAAGGTCCGCTTGTCTCTTTGTAAAGCCAGGCTTACCTGAAAGACCAACCAAAACAAAGTAATGGACAGGTCAACAATCAAAGAAAATGTTTCTAAAACAAGAAAAGGATTTCAAAAAAGCATGCAAGGATGAATGCATAAGAAGTTAACCATGCTTGTAATAATTACGACAATGGCCAAATTAGAAGAGGCCATAAACATTTTGACGCTAGAATATGAATGATAAGCATTCAGGAACACATTCAAAAGTTAAGGTTTAACTCGATAAGCCAGCCACACTTGTCAAACCACCTTAGGCAACTCCAGTGCAACACCAGTACAAACTATTGAAATTAAAATTTTCAGAAACTGAGGTGATTATCACCTCCTCCCAAGTTTATGAAAAACATAGAGATCAGTTCAGGCACAAAAACAATCTATATGGTGCTAAATAAACTTTGCTCAAAACAAAGTTAATATGTGTGCTGGAAAATCAACCTACAAGCAGGTCCAAATTATGGGCCGCATAGGCTCATCTTGATGCACCGCCAAGGAGGGTGCATCAAGCATGCTCGCCTTGGAGGGGCAAAGAAGTGCGGCCAAGGGCCATGCCACCTCAATGCAGCTGCAATTGACAACTACGATGAAAATATGAAGTAAGCAGCTATTTTCGATGTAAGAAGTTACAGCATAATCTAATTAAGGGACCAAATAGCAAACCTGGCTGAGCACCAAGTTCTATCACATGTAATTTCGAGGTAATCTGGCCTGCATTAGTGGTTTTTGAGGCAAAACAAATAAGAGTGGAAGGATTTTCATTGCCAGCCACCTGCATGAGACAAATAAATAATGGGTGGCATACACAGTCAATAACTGCATCCATGTCAAATCATAAGATTCAATCGAAAACCAAGCAACAGTGAGAGTACTATGCTCACTTTAATTGATGCAAATGATGCAGCATGTGCTTCGAGAGCTTGACTTCGCTGCTGATCGACTGAGAAGAGTTGCATGTTCCCTTTGACCAATTGTGGCCTCTATACATATAAGCATGAAATTCAGGAATATTAATGTGTAAATACATCTTAAAAGACAAAAACAATTGTTAATAATTCCAATTTTCTACTTGTGAAAGCAAACAGAGATTTTTAAGTGTACAAGATAAAATGACCTAAACTCCTGTAATGTCTCCGAGGACACATCAAGCCTTGCATAGCTTCTAGACAGATGCTGAAGCATTTTCACATTTAAGTCACTGAAACGTGTTAAACCAATGATTCATGATACAAGCATGCATTCAAAAGCTAGACCCACCTTTGTTTGATTTCTTAACATATCGCATAAGATTGAATCATAAATCAAACTCATAACCACAATGAAGCTCATACAACTTCGACAGTAAAACAGATATATTCCAATCTGAAAATACACTTATATATTTGAGAGGCTCACAATGATGATTAAATATAGAAACAAACTTTCACAAACTTCACACAACCAAAACAGCTGTATGACAATGCCCAATTTACAAGGGAAAATCAAAAAAAGATTTACATAAAAATTAGATCGAGAAGAACACACCATAGCTGAACCCATTTGGATTAGAAATAACTGTCAGATGCAACAAAAATAGAGGAAAAATAATACAGTGCCCAGATTACGTAACTTGCATATAATCTCTCTTAAACATGATCAACAAGCATTAATTTTCTCATGCAGATTACTTACGAACACAATCCTGAAATAGAAAGAGAACCAAAAATGATACTCACCTCAGCAGCACCAGGAGCAATTCCAATTAAAACAAGCCACTTTTCAGAGGGATCACACCGATAGTTGATTATTTGATTGTTCAGCAAATTAGCTGTTCGCTCAAACATCTTTACAGGCTCAGAATCACCTGCACAAGAGTCAAAGTCAGCTAGGTTTTACAGGACTTTTAATGGTTTTAAGAAAGGGCACTTCAACAGTTACAGCAAGAACAAAGAGTAATACAAATATAGAATTAAAAAAACTGCATCTTATTCATCAAATACTATAAAAGAAAAAAAAAAGTGCCAAATTACCTTCAATTGACCAGTGGTACACTGAGGTCTGTGTGACCAAGCCCAACATCTTTGGAGTAATCCACTTCCAAAAGACAACCTAAACAATCAAAAAGCACAAGAACTGGACATGTCACCTACATTATTCTCACTGCAAAACAAAATAAAAAAACTGTAGACAAGCAAGTAAACAATAAAAGACCATGTCATCACCTGCTCCGGCATCTGATGTGATTTCATTTTTGCCTTCATCTCGATATTAAATATTTGCAAGTGGTCTTGTGTAGTTCCAGGTATTTGAGCTTCAGTTCCATTGAAGCAATACAACAGTCAGGCCAATAAAAACCAAATAGTCATATAGAGACAATGCATAGAATTTGATGTATGTGGAACATATAGTTTAAGCACAAAGAGTTCAGAGAATTTGGCCTTCCTAGTTCTGGGAAACTAACTCCAAAGCCAAAAAGAATGAGGACGTTCAGAAACCTCTTTATAAGAAAGCCATATAGCAAGAGAAGTGCATAATTCATCATAATGGAAAGCTCAAGGAACTTTATCCAAAACCAAAATTAAGTGTAAGTCAATTGAATCAAGGGCATCCATTTCTATATCTATATCTACATATCTCCATAGATATGAGTGCATGTGTATATGTATAAATTAAAGACTGGTGGAAGGCAAAGATTAATGTAGCCTTCTCTTTCGAGGATTATCTTTAGGATGAGGACATTCTCGGCTATCAAGTTAAGTTGTTGGGTAGGATAGATAAGGTAGTCATCATGAGAGTAAGGATCCATACAAGGATGAACAAACGCGGTAACTTAGGGTTCCCAGAAGAAGTTTGCAATTTTACACTTGACAATGATGGCTTTGTCATGTATCCAGCACATCTGGCCCACCCTCAAAGGATACCTGCCTCACATTGGGTAACAAGGATGGACAAGATGGTAACACTTGATCATCTTCACTACGAGGTAGTCACTTCCCAAATTATTGGTATTATGTACAGCGAGCACACCTCAATCATTTTCTTATGCACAGTTTCATTTGCAATTGGGTATTCAATACTAAGTTCGATGCATTTCCACATTAAAAAGGCAAACGTGCCAGACACGTTTCCGTGAATCAAAAATGTAAGAATGCATGTCCACACACGTCAAAACCTCAGCATTTTATGTACACGACATGTCCAACATGCAATTCCTCCTAGAAGTCGTATTGGACATAGCATGCCTGTGACAGAAACAATTGTGTGTGCCCACGCCCTTGTAACAGGCTTGTTTAGGTTGATCCCATAATGGCAGCAGCTCCAAATGGGTGTCAGCCTTTCTTCAAGAATTTCTGTATTTCCTAGTAAACCTCCCTCCATCCACAGGTGTATAGCCTTGATGAAAATTGGAAGGAACCTTGGTTTCTGTTAATCATAGCTCTTTAAATCATAAACGTGGGTATACATATGAAAGATTACCAGTTAGAAATCTTAAGGAGAACATGGAGGGAAGAATGGTATAACCTTTAAAGGCAATGAAGTGCTTAAGTAATCAGGGTACCATATTTTCACAGGCACCAATCGAGAAGGAATCATGCAGTATCAAGGAGAATCTTGGATCAAGAGTGGCGGATGGTGTCATTTAAAAGTCGTAACGGAGTAAGGTGCTGCTGGGGAGTCTTACACTAGTCTTCAACCGGAGCTCAAACGGGTATCAAGGCACTTCTAAAGAAGGCTCAAAGCATAGGGTATTGTTCAGAGCACTGGAATTCATTGATAAAATGATATGGAAGTGAAAAGTACCCTTCACTATGCCGAGAGAGGTTTCTCAACATTTATTTGGCCCTATAATATCAAAGGGTAACTCAATGAACATGAATAGCCAAGACAATAAGCACCGGTTCTATGGAGGATTTTACCTCAAAAAAAAAAAAAGGGTTCTATGGAGGATCAGTATGAACAAAGTGGAGGAATCTTTGACATTAGTGACTTAAACACATCCTTTAATCTTGTCCTTAGAGATGCCAATTGAGGTCGTACTTCCTTCGCTAGAGAGACAATAGCTAGCGAGAAGCACAATTTTTCAAATACGTTCACATTAAAGGGTTTCTTTGTAGCGAAAAAAAAATGAGAGGTTTCTTTTTTTTTCTGAACATGAAGGTTTTTAATGTTAGTCCCATTGAAGCCTCCAATCATTCGCATTAGTCCCGTTGAGACCTCTAATCATCTGCAACATCACACCATTTGTAGTTTGGACATATTTCACCTCAAAGAAATTTAAGAAAACAAATACACTGCAAACAGCTCTCAAACATTTTTAAGCAAGAATAACACTTAAAATAGTTGATAACATTACCCAGAATACAAACAAGACCCTTATAGTTGTGGATAAAGGAAACTATGATATCACACATTTTACAACTACAGCTCGACACTCTCACTCTTCGGACCCATCCAACCTCTCTCATAACTGATAGTAGAGACTAAATCAGCTCCACATTTTCTCCCTTCATTCATATTTTTTGCTAAAAGCCTTGCTTGTCGATTGACAAAGGATCCCTTGTTCCAAATTATCAAGCTCAAACACCACTTTACATTTCCTTGGCCTTACCCAAACTAGCTCATCTGGTCTACATCATAGACAGCCCTCCTTACCAAACGATGGGAATGCATGGCTAGCAGACCAAGACCTTTCAAGAGTGATTCTTCATTCCCCAACCCCTAGATATAAATTTCAGAATAACTGGAGGGAATTCCTTAACTGCCCATTTACACCATCCCATTCTCAAGTAAAAAACGAAGAAGAAAAGTTGCCCAGCTCAATGTGACATCAAAAGGAACTAGCTCCATGAAAATGCCACCCAAAATATCCTAAAAACAAATTGCAAATGTTAATTAACTTTACATTCTCATTCCCATATGAGTTGCGCCCCATCGGAGAAGATAAAGCCCAATACTTGAGAACAAAAACTTTTCTTTATAAATTATCATAACAAAGCAGATGAGGCCATATTTAGTCCAATTGAGGCAACAAAGGATTCTAACAGTTACTCTGCTAACCAGGAAGCCATTTTAAGTAGTTAGTAAGCTCAGAGATTCCATTTCCGGGAATGCTTCCAACCTCCCTAAACTCGTCTAGGGATAATTAAAGTATTAGAAAAGCTCTGACATAGTCATTGAATCATTCCTCACACTAGACCATTAACAAAACCATAACTCATTTGCCCGTTCAAAAAATTGTACCTATACATGATAGCACAACCCAATAATACATAAATGGACATCCCAATACCCATGGATAAATTCCTCTCCTCCCAATCCACGAACTAAGCTCAGCTTCTCAATTGGGTGAAACATAATCTCCACTAAATCGTTCACGACTTGCCATAGGTTATCTCCACCAAGACGCCTCAGAAATAAACGATCTCTTGAGGAGACCAGCAAAGAAACCAAGCAAGAAGCCCACCGCTATCGAGTCACTCTTAAGATTCGTTAAGTAAGCACTGGTTTCCTATTCTATTTCGTGTCACATTGCCATTGGTTAATCATAAACATTCCTCACTTGGACCGCCCTATTTATATGCACAACCAGAAGAATCTAATTCAATAGGGCAACCACCTAAGGTTAAGATCCAAGAAAACCAATTGGCAAAAGCATCCATTAACCAGTAGACACTTCTTTTTCAGAAATCTGAAGTGTTCCTTGCCTAGTTCAAACCTAATTCAGAGCCTCCCTTCAAGGCCTTCAACTAGGGTTATTCCAATCTATACTACTCTCTTCTTTGTCTGCCTAGGAGAACTCCACAGAAAGGTCTAAGCAACCACATCCCTACATTCTCCCAGGACTAGAAAGTGTGATTCTTATTATGTTGGCTTCATCACCCACAAGATTCCCCATGTCGCCCTCCTATTCCAAACCCCCTAACTTCAACTAATATAGAAATGATAAGAAAAATGCAGATAATATAGCAACTATCACATGCACCTTTCAACAAATTTGTAAAATGATAAGCAGAAACAAGGTAAGGAGCTCAGAAGGTAACGACAGAATAATCAATACGATTCTGTTTGTGAGCTGCAACTAATAGCATAGTGTCATAATATGTTTGCCATCTCACATACGAGGAAATAAAACCTAAGGGCATAAGTTCCTCAGTCCAATCAGCCATGCATAACCTATTAATATATAGTAAACAAGCATATAGTATATGTTTTGCATGTTCTGATTTTTCTTCACAAATAGTATAGGTTATTATCACTATAAATAATCAGCTGTGAATATCCTATTTTTTATAGTTAACAAGCCTACGTCATATTTTTTCCTGTTCGACTTTTATCATTTAAGCATATAAGTCATTAGCCTTATAATGAGCAACTATAATTGTTATTATCTTCATGCTAAACAGTTTTTTTCCATCCAAAACATGTTAAAATTGTTGAAAAAAAATTAATGTAAAAGCCAGCACTTTCTCCCAAGGAGAGCAAATGCATGGATCCCATATAGAACTGGTATAAAATATGCATCTCATGATAAAACAAAGAGGATTGGTTGTATTCTCACATTATGCATGCAAAGCAACCATTTATTGAGTGAAACACAGGTAAATTTAGCAACCTTTCAGAGCAAGAATCCTGCTGTTGGGGTTCATCAAAGCTGAGTCAGCAGTAATAGGCCGTCTCAGAGGTTGCATAGGCATATTCATGTCAATAATCACCACACTGTTCTGAGGAGCAGTTTCTCGAACACAAATATATTTCTCTGACTCCATGGTCACATGTGTAAATGTGATAAATTGAGGATTTATACCCAGGCTTGTCAACTGCAAAAGGGAAAGGAAATATAGCCAATATTGTCAGGATCAATCTATGAACATCATAAAAATCAAGATTTAAGTGAAGATATGAATACAAATTATGTTGTGTTCTCATGTGTCTCAAGAATGTCTTGGAGAAGTACAGACTCGCAATATTTGAATTCCAAAAGGAAGACGATGGCAAATACAACTATTTCAACTTAAATGAAATTCAAGTTGAGACAAAAACTTAATTTTGAAAAAGGAGAACAGCAAACAAAACAAGATTTGATCCACAATAATCTCCAATCAATAAAACTATCATTTTTACGGTTAAATAATAGCCAGAAAGAAAAAACAAATGATGGTTTTTTAAATAAATAAACAGAAAACAAATGATTAGTTATCAAATTATCCAATGAAGCCCGATAATCAAATGATAGGAGATCGCAAAATGCTTTAAATCCATGACAGATATGAGTCCATCACAGGAAAACATCAAAGGCTAACACTTTTAATATAAATTTTCGAATAACACTTTTAATATAATTATTGTGCAAACGAGAGTAAAACGACAATTTAAAGGAAATCTGCTTCCGCAACTGAATTGAAAGCTTCAAATGATTCATAAGTCCCAACAGAGATCAAGAATTTTTCTGATTAGTTTATCAGATCACCAGTGTCAACACTGTAGATCCAACAGATCCAGCATTTACTGGTAATCTACCAAGAAAAAAAGTTCAAACCCTCAAAAAAACGAATTATAGTGGCACTGATAGTAGGGATCTGGTAATCTCATCCATCCAACCAAGCTGGCCAAATTAAGCAGCTAAATCATTTCCCATTTCTCAAATCAATTTGAGGTCCAAGACTCTTAACAAAACGAAGAGAGCTAGGACGCCTCAAAACAGATTCAATTTCAATAGAATAAGCAAAAACCAGAGAAAGCAACCACAGGATACCAGATCGATGCAGCAAAAAGACAAATTCTCAAAAACAAGCAGAGAGAAATGCCCCAAAAAAAATGAAAAGACCAGTGAATCATAGGGAAAGAACCAACCGTCAGAGCTTCCTTCATAGTGATCGGAGCAGTTGCAGCAGCCATGGCGCCTGGATCAACTCTCCACCGAAAAACACAATTTCGGCGGAGGGAAACCGCCCCAGATAAAGAACACCCTAGATATCTCCGCTAAAAAGCAATTACGAAAACCTTTGATGGCGTTGCAAGGGTTCAGATCTGACGGAGAGAGGAAGGTTTCTCACTCTGCAACAACCCTTGTTGAGGGTTGAGAACGCGAAAGGGAGGGAGTAATAAACTCTTTACGGAGAGAGAAAACGAGAGAAATGGGTGCATATAATGAAATGGCTCGAGGGCATTGTCCCGTCAAATTCAGATTCAATTACGTTAAATGATATTCGAATTCCATCGAAATGACACCCAACAAAGACTTACGTTATGAAGGGCAAATAACCAAATTAGATGAGAGAGAAAGCAGAAGTTTGAGAGACAGAAAATTAAGCTCTAATCATGCATTTGCTGGCAATTTTGTGTGTTAATTTTAATGATTTAATTTTTAGCTCTTTTAAAGTTCGGGGAATACTCAATAGTGTGACTCGGCTCATGGTTCGGTGGCTTGAACCTAGCCAAGCCGTTCTACTTCTTGGAGGTAAAATATTGATACTGAAGACATCATGGTTATGAGCTTGATCGGCTTGGGCCAATTTTTAGCCGAGAAAGTGGGAGCCACGCAAGACGCCACCAAGAGCAGTAAATACAATGTCGTGCGAGAGTTTTTCTTCTTTAATAAGGTTTCTTGTTGAACCATTTATCTTAATATCATTCTTGTCTTTTAAATTTCAAAATAAATAATTTTACAAGTGTTTATTTATTAGACACAAAGTTTCAAAAAATTAAAATAAAGACGGTATACAATGAGTGCATTTATATTTGATACAAAGTGGTCACAATTCCTTACAACCATCTGATATAAATTTTAATAGATTAGATGTGTCACAAAGTTCAATAATTTTTTAAAAAAAATTCTGAGTTTAATCAATTGAATAATTATAACCACCCAATTTTATATCCAATGATCAACATTAATGCGACCACCTTGTCAAAAGGAAATGGCCTCATTCTATACTTTCCCAAAAAAATAATTAGATTTAGTCACTAACCCCAAGCCATCCCATTAACACCTTCAAAATGTAACTCCCTAATCTATTAAAAAAACGGGTAGGACATCTCTTCCCCACTGAATTATATAAGGAGTTCACAATTTTATATATATATAATTGTGAACTCCTTATATAAAAGATAAAGTAAAAAGTTTATATAAGGTTGTAATATTAAAATGTATAATTAAAGATGCGCCTCAAAAATCCATCGAAAAATGTTATTTTGATGTTGAAAAACCCTCTAATTGATCATCTCAACATCGAGATGCATGAATATGAAAAAGAATAATCATTTTGAGTCCCATAAATAGTGCCTCTAGCAACACATTTTTTAGACCGTCCATTTCCAATATTTTCATATGTTTATAGATCTACATGATTTAAACTATTTTTTTAGTTTAAACTTTTTTACTTGGATAAGAAAATAAATTTTTCAAATAATCCTATAAATTTATTACATCAAAATTACATGTTATGATAAATTTTGGTGGTGCGCCTTAATTGGATTGTTTAAGGTTGTAACATTATAGAAACCGCACCCAAATATAAATGGTCTTTTTGTAGATAATCCCCATGTAATGATGAAAAAGTGCATGTTTGATTGGTGTGAAAATATTTTCACAATAAAATTGTAATAAAACCAAGGGTACAACATTTTACCATAAAATGGTCCACTTTGCAAGAAAACAAAACCACACAACCCATGGGGAAATATTTATTGGGTTTTATTTCTCATGTATGGACCCCACTGATCACGGTTCACTATTCAGTATTTACAATATAATACTTTATTATATATTAAATAGTATATTTAATATATTATACAACTAAAGTATATTTTATATTAAACAATATATTAATTTACTTTATAATATATGTTAATAAATATAAATAATATATTTCATATATAAATTAGGGGTATGTTTCTAATTGTAACCAACAAATTTTAGACATTTATATACTCTTCTTTTGTACATAAAGCATTTTTTTCAGTAATGGTATTTTTGTCATTAAGATAGGTGTGACATCACCCATATAAAACACATTAGTGTCAGTTAATGCTCCATGAGGGTTACGCCATAATCACACCTTATGTAGATGACGCCACACATCTCTTAATAACCAAAAAATATTCTTACTAAAAAAATATTGTATTAGAAAATAATGGTACATTAGTATTCAAAATTTGTTGAGTACAATTATAAAATACTATATAGTGTGAGCAGTCTAACATAACTTTATAAAATACATTTAACTAATATTTAATATATTATATAAATAATATGTTTTAGTAAACAATATATTAATTTATATTATACTATATTCTATAACATGTATTAATACAATATTATATTGTAATATAACATATTATTAGCATAACATATAAATATTAATATTATACTATATTATATTATATTACTTTATGATATAATATAGCACATATTAATTTAATTTATATTTATTATATATAATATTATGCACTATATACTACTTTTATATACATATTATTAATCCATATTCATATTATATTATATTATATATCTTACATATTTATATTTGTAATATATATATATATATATATGCTTATTTACAATATATGTTTATTTATAGTATATATTTATTATTTTATATATATATATATATATATATGGGTACGGTCTGTATAGAGTCGAGGCTCTAAACAATGAAAATAAAGCCTACCCTCAATTAGTATGAGAAATGTGGTTTCAGTTGTGAAATCTTTGTGATAGCTTTAAAATCCTTTAATTATTAAATTTAAAATTTCAATAATAGTGTAGATCGAGCAGATCTATGAAAGCTTTAAAATCTTGAAAATTGATGGTAAAAAAATATGTTACAGATGCACTATTACCAATACTTAAAATCCATTTTTTTCTTATGTCCATGTATATTGATATCGAGATGATCAATTTAAAGATATTTGGGCATAAAAACCACCTCTTTTAGTGAACTTTTTGAGGTGGGCTCTTATTTGATTGTTTAAAGCCTCGCCCCTCTCTCTCTCTATCTCTCTCTATTTTATATATATATATATATATATATATATATATATATAATAAGTAAAGTTAAATAAATAGTAGGTACTACTAAACTAATAACTAAAGTTAGTAGTACTACCTAACCTAAACTTTAAATTTAACTTAAATTAAAAGTAAAACGGT